GCTGATGATAACTTTCACCGTGATTAATAAGCGTTGAGTCTGATAAAAAAGCAATGTCATGATTTGACCTTTATGATGAAATACTAGTAGTGATGTCATTATTAGCCAATCAGTAAAGCAGATGCATAAAGGTCAAAGACGATTGCTAGACTGTAAACAAAAGCATCGTGTGCCATCGCAGCAGAGCGACCCCATTTTTCTCATGAAGGCGCGACAATGTCATATAAATCATTATCGGATAATTATAGTCTAATAAAATCTAATGAAATTCGGGCAGAGATGTCTAACTTAGACATTTTTAGATGATATTATCGATAATATCGGAGAAAACGAACTGTCCCAATAGTTGCCCAGACAGACCAGTCTAAGTTAAACATTTTTAGACATTGTTATTGTTGTCCAGACAGACCTGTCTAACTTTTTCTCTGATATTATCGTCTAATAAAGTCTAAGTTAGACAACCATGTGCAGGCAAAGATAGTTTTTATCCGATATTATCGATAATATCGAAATTATCGTCTAAGAATGTCTAAGTTAGACACCCATACCCACCGGGAACCTTGTCATATTACATTTTATCGGTAATGTGACATGCGAGACGTATTTGCTAACTTGTTTCCAGCGTTTCGGTGGGAAATGCTTTAAAGTCGAAAGGAAAGAAGACAACTCTACGGCCGTTACATAGACATTGTTAGACGATATTATCAATAATATCGGAGAAAAACAAACTGTCCCAATAGTTGCCCAGACAGACCTGTCTAACTTAGACATTTTTAGACGATAATATCGGATAACGTTAAAAAGTGCAATGTCGCGCCTTCCTCATTTTTCTTGTCTCTTTATTATGATTAGACATGAATGAAAAGTGCCAAGCTGACAGACTGCGAAATCCGTGGTTTAAAACTGCTAAATCCAAATTGTGTGGGACGATATCGACGAACTTCAGGAATAAGTTGTAGGGATTTTGTTCGACGGCTACAGTGACGCCGATTTGGACTTTGAGGGTTTTGAGTTTGACGAAGATGGCAATGAACGTACAAATAAAGATCTGAGAAGTTTTTTTCAAACAGCTATGAATTTTTATAATTTTTACTGTGTAAATTTGTAAATTATTATTGATCTTGTATGACAGTTGATGCGTAATTTGTCGAGACCGGAAATCATTTTACGCAGTTTAACCCCTGACATTTTAATTAATTTTGAGTTCACGCGTGTTTGTCGGCGGGAAAATCCTAATTCAAATGAGTTCTCACTGTCGATTTTTATTATTTCTGGTTTTTTGTCACATTATAAGCAATACATTATCTTTGTTCTACTTCTAGTGTTGCATATTGTTCATTTATTTCCGTTGCATGTTTTCATTTGCTGTTCTATTCCCTGTCGCAGTTCGATTGAACTGTTTGATGCTGATTTTCGTGAATTTTCTTTTTTGTTGCCGGGGATCTCCTGGCAAACGCCCACCCCTTCTTTTTGGCAATTTTCCATGTTCAAGACCCTGGGCTTATATCCGGATAAATACGGTACCGTAGTAGTACATAGACCATTACAATAATATAGGGTACAAACACCGGATTGGCTCAATACTATACGTGTTTACATAAATGAGAGGTCAAAATAAATCATATTATAATGCTTACAATAAATGCAATTTTCAGTTCTATCAGAGTGTGCTTCTAACACAGCAAATTCGATACATTGACTATTAAAGTAATATAAAGTCACCTTCATTTTGGTTTGCATTGTACAACACTTTCTTCTTCTTTTTCTTCTTCCGAGCACAGAACCATCTGCCTTTCTTTTTAGGTTCTTGATCATCGACCAATGTGTGCTTCATGGCTTCTCGTCTAACACAGTAATATATCAAGCGTCAAATAAAGTTTGAATAGTCCTAAAGGCAGGATTTTGCTAAATTTTTTTTTATTGGCTGTTTTAGATTGTGATGAAAAAAGTTTGGGTACCAGCAAGGGTTTAAGAATTATGTATTTTGTCCATCTTCCAATCCCGAAATGCCTGTCGAGCTATGGGGAAATAGCAAAGTCACTGTTTCCATGGAAACAAGATGGGTACATTACATTTTGCAATAATTTTTTGATGAACAATATTATTTTTCTAAAATATTTGTTGTGCTTTTAAAATGTCCACAATTGTAACGACAATTCAACTAAGGTTGCTATCTAAATATGCAATCACAAGATTATTTTCAGGAAACGAAATAATGGCAATTAAGGTCAAATAAATGCTTCAATATACTGCAATAATAGATGTTTTGTTTTTATACATTCAGAACCAACCATAAAACGTCATATACGCTTATCAGTCAGCAGCTCAAACTAATGCAGCCAAACACAACCAACATAAAACAAAACAAAACAAAATATCGAATACTATCAAGAAGAGTTACAATGACTTATTCTACTTACTGTTGTCTGAAATGCTTGCTTGGTACAAGTCCAGCTAGCGTCTGATCATCTTCTCCTTCTCTGTAAGCTTGCCACCAGTTGGCATCTTCTTGATTAATCACATGTAATATGTCCCCTTTCTGGAATGACAGTCCTAGTTCACGACACGGTATGTACATGTCATCTTCTGGATCATAGTCAAAATTAGCTCGGATATGCACCTGCAAAATATAACAACAAATGAAAACTTGTTGATATACAGAGCAACACAGGGAATTATTTAGATTGTAAGTTCATAGCGATACATAAGTATTTGCTATAACATAAACGGATAGTATAATAGAACAACTTACAATAGCATTTTCTTTGTTAGCTTGCTTCATATCTCGACATGGAATAAGTAAGAAAGTCAGCGTTCCCGTCATAGTTGCCTGGAGAGAAACAAATGAATTACTGACATCTATCGGGTCACTTAAAAGTGTATACATGTAATAAATCATGTGTAAGACACAGACAGGATCTATGAAACCTGATCCAGTATAATAATAAAATTGTTGACTCGCAATGTTTTTCTTTTTCTGTTTTTAAAATGACACAAACAATAAATGTTTGCATATTTACCATGAGATCACAGACTTCATTCACTGATTTGCCTTTCATTTCATGTCCATTGATATCAAGAATCTCATCACCCTCGTGTAGAAGTCCGCTTTTATCTGCTGCTCCTCCCCGCACTATCCTCCCAATGACAATGGAATCGCCCTCATTCCTCACCGTGGCACCCTGCAAAACAAGACAATACTCATGTATTTATTTACCGCTCCAATATGCAGACAGAGAGTTCACATACATACCAATCTGAAATCACCAACTCTTACAGAGAGTTGACGAGAGAAAAAAGTCAAATCATCTTGTGAAAATCTGCTACTCTTGGTGAAGAAGATGCCTGCGTTCTTTACATAAGCTGATGGCAAAAACAACACACAAGGCCGACAGGTTTCGTTTGTTTCCATCCAAAAGTATGCACGTTTTTCCAAGACTAATATTGAGGGTGTGAGGATCTTGGCAGAATGTACAATCAAGTGATCCGATAACTTGATCACACCCACCGACTGTGACACCACGCCCAGGTTCAGATTTGAATATAATATTAATAATAGATTACTCATAGAAATGTCAAATCAAGATAAACAACCAAGTCTGTTCAACTTTTTTCATGAACAGCCATCTGAACATACTAGTATAACCCATAACATTTTCGCCACCAGACTTTCCCGTTCAAATTTTTCTGAACTTTTTTCTTAAATTCTTCAATATTTCTGGAAATGAATCCTAATTTTGAAGCCAACAGACAAAGTTTTCAGTTTTCACATTCGGCTATTTTTGTCTCAATCTTCTGAAGAAAAGTGTAGACTATATAGGGGCTATTTTGTGATGAAAAGAGGGAACTGGTGGTGAAAAGGTTTACATCCCAATCAGTATTTGCTATATTAAAAACACATTATTCAATAGAAGTGTACATAAACACAAAATTGCATTTACTGTACACTGTCGAAATATGTCTTATTTTGATTGTGGACCAGTCATGTCATTTACATGAGCAAATACTTTTCTAAAGAAGCAAATACGATACACTCCATGGGAAAAGTGACCATAATACATGTACATGGATTACAAATGGCCTAAACCAAATATCTAAATTTGACTCGATACTAGTCTATAATTTCAACCTGTGGACAGTATTTATTGGTATCCGTTATTACCGGTACATGGGTTTATTTAAGAGACTGCTACATGTTATCATGTGCTAATATGTTTGCTTCATCAATAATGTAATCAACTCAAGTACTTACAAGTGGTTCAGCAGTTTTGTCTATTCTCACAACTTTTACGGAATCTTCTGTGAAATTAGATACCATGTCATCGTCTTCATCTTCCATTTCTGGTGGTGGTACAATATATGGGTCTTGCTGTACTATTCTGTCATATGCTAATAACAATGACTGTAAAAAAATCAACATTTTACATTCAGGAGGATGACATGTGACTTTCCAGTCACTCTGAGATCTTGTGTAATTCCCGAATGATGCAAATTAAATGTTTGCGACAAAAAAACAAATAATTTAATTTCTCCTTTTCACTGTTCAATGTCAAGAGAGGATTATGGCGCTGAGGTGTTCATTACCATCATTGAACATAACACATTATTAAACATGGAAAAATACTTTCATGTTTTTTGAAACTCACAATTTTAATGAAATCCGCCCAGTGGAGTATATTCCTTCACCACCAGAAATACAAACCAGCTTGTAATAGCAGATGTATACATATAACAAGAGTATCGGTATCAAATTAATATTAAAAATACTCACATCAAAATGAGCATTCCTAAATATGTTTTTGAGTTCTTCACATTCATATGTATTAACAGTATGCAGTATGCCCTTCACCTGATATGAGGGAAATACATGTATAAATATTTTATCATTTATATGTTCGTAAAAGCAGTTTCTGGTCATTCCACAAATCATTTCACCCTCATCGCCAACTCACAAATCACCCATCCATTCGTGGTAGAGAATTGTTGTGTCTGCGTAATGTACTCATGTATCAGCACTCTTCTAATAGAATCGTTAACTCATGTCACCTCTAAAGTGTTAACTTGCGTTGTACAATTTTAATTTTAAGGCTTTGATCTTATTTGATTTGAAATGAACGTTGGTGTTGAAAACTATTTTTATTGCTGGACAAATAATGGGTATGACAAGGTTTAACATCTGTAGTTATGAATTGGAAACCAAGTGTAGCAGAAAGCAACGAAAACAGATCCAGCTATATGAAGTATTGTTTTATAATACAGTGTACCATGTCTGCAACTGACTGTCTATAAATTGAAGACTACCTCTAATCCAATCTCCATAGATTGTCTTGTAAAACGACTTCTATCAACTTGACACCTCCATAAACTGATCAATTTAAAACCATTTATAATAATCTCACTACATTTGACACAAATGGTGGTAAGGGTCAATGATGAAATAAGGCCATACTCACTTCCCCGACAAGCAGTTGTGCGTTATCAGCTTCCGGTACAAACGGTACTTCTCGTGTTGAGATTTTCGTCACTTTGTTATGAATT